TAAAGAATTATATAGGGATATATATATATATATATATATATATATATATATATATATTAAATGGCAGGCGTTTGATAGTTACCATTAGCCCTTTAGTTGACTTCAGGCTTCACAGAGGGGAAGGAACATCAATGTGAAAAAAGTCGAGAGGGGGGAGGGAAGAGTGTTTCAAAGATGTAAAAGAGGCAAACACAACGTAAAAAAGATGAGGTGAGTACTATGGAAGTGGTCAAATATGACATACAGTGGGGTGATGGTAGTTTGAAGTTTCGAATATGACATACAGTGGGGTGATGGTAGTTTGAAGTGGAAGTAGACGAATATGACATACAGTGGGGTGATGGTAGTTTGAAGTCAACTGCCGGTTAATAGATTTTTTGCCGTATGGGTCTGTTGCCCAAATATGACATACAGTGGGGTCATGGTAGTTTGAAGTCAGAGGTCAACTGCCGGTTTATAGACTTTTTGCCGTGTTAGGGTTAGATCAACTGCCGGTTTATAGACTTTTTTGCCGTATGCGCATACACAATGACATACAGTGGGGTGATGGTAGTTTGAAGTGAGAAGTTGTGACATATAGTGGGGTGAGGGTAGTTTGAAGTCAGAAGTCCACTGCCGGTTTATAGACTTTTTGCCGTATGAGTATACTTTGCATAGACTTTTTGCCGTGTGAGTAAACGTTGCCCAGGGTGCACCACGTGAAGGTTAGTCTATTGCACACCTCAGGTGTACGTTATAATATTGCAGAATTATGCTGTTCATTGGTGGGGAGACATGGAATTTATCGGTTGGCAAGCCTTCTGTTTTAATTTTGAAATGGTCGCAGTCCGCTTAAAAGCAAAGTGCTGCATTCAATCATATTACTCCCAACAATTTTCGGAAAAATTTTCCCCTTCTTGTACGGAAGGGGGGGGGAAGTAGAATTTCAGAGCCTCATTGTTGAGAAACTCCAACTTCTGCCATGCTTTTAATAAGCTAGATATAGCTAGTTCCGTTAAATGTTTTGCTTAATCTGCCAACTTTTGCTCCTTCATTTACTCTCGAAAATTACTTTCAATTCCATATCTAAAATTTTAGTAAGTAATTAACCACACACAATAGCGTCCACTAACAGCATTCAACAAATTGAATAACTGCGTCCATTCGTAGAACTATCCACCATAAAGCCAATTCACCATTATACGTGGGTGCCAAAATGAGACAAAATAAAATACAGGTTAACGGCCCTACCAGGTTCGGGAACTCTTCCATCACGGGATTAAGCGGAGATAAAATTGGTGACAATGCTTAGTAGAAGCAGTGGAAAACTATGCAAACTCCAACTGTGAATGTTGGATAATGCCAGGATAAAAATAAACCGCTTCAACACAATATCTTTATGTTTTTTTCAATTTAAAAATTCCACTATTCTTCCGAATTCCTACTGGAGCACTTCTAGTTGTGTGCTTGAAGGATGCCCTCTGAAAATCTAAAAATAAAAATTTGCGCGGGATTTAGCACCTGGTGACTCAGATCTAGTCACTACACGACAATTTTCCACTGAAATGACTCATTCTTCGTGGAGAAGCGAAGTCTTTCGCAGTCCTTGTGCTGACAGTAATTATTAATCACATAGTTTTTGTCAAAAAATGTGTGGGATTTCTTTATCTTGGTGTTGGTAATAGGGGATTTGATGTATCGCAGCAATTCGCCTTTCCAATTTAATTTACCCTAAGTGGCATGAATACCAACCACTAAGTCAAGTGGTCATTTTCTGAATATTACTCATTGGAATTTTTCGTAACCTCTTAGTGCCCCAATTTCATAGCATACGAATTGTGTTTTAGTACAACTTGGAAATCTATTGTTGTGGCTATGGCATACCCACACACAAAATATCGCTAGAATAGAGTTGACTTAGAAAAAGGAGGGATTTAGACGGAGTGTAGATAAAGTGAAAATTGCTTTAGTCAAACGAATCCACAGTGTTTTAAACTGATTATTTTTCTTGTTCAGAGAGCGAAAGACCATCAGATTGATAAAAGTTTAGTGTCAAATAACTGACCAACCATTTGAACCAAATATACACCTTAACTTGGTAAGGAAAATGGTCGATTTTGAGATAATCTACCTGATCTGATCCCCAGCTTTCCCAGGGGTGGAAGGGGGGAATTGAGGGTTCCTTTCAACAATACTACGGGTTTGCATGGCAGTCAATTAATTTTTAGCATTGGAGATTACAATTTAACCCTTCTTATGGTCAAGAATAAGAAGAGGAGGCACACAAAGAATTTCACTCATAATGAAGCTCACCTAAGTTCCCTCCCCCCCCCCCCACCAAACCCCTCGGTTAAATTGAAATTCATTGGAGTAATCTACTACAAACACTCAGAGACTAGAGCGCTTTGAATTTAAGAAAAGAGATTGAGTCATCGTGTGGCTGAAAGTGATATTGAGTAATCAGGCGCATACGTGAATACGACGTCGACTCATACATAATAAAATTCAAACAAATAAATAATAAAGTAAGTCAAAATTGAGGTTATCTTTGGAGTGATTTAAAAGACTGAAAAATTTGCAATCTTATATATTTATCCACAAAACTATAATGCTTAAATAAAGAACTAGGTGAGTATTGGGAAGGTTTCATTTCCTACTTCCTTTTACTTTTCAAATTATTGTTTAAACAAAATGCATTTAATAGATTTAAATCACAATTTATTTGCGATTTTTTCACTTAACTAATTCTAGCCGCTCTATACTTGTTTCGTGAGTTTATTGCCTGTATAGTGTTTAGTACCTAAAATAACGCTGCACTACGGCACATCTTCAATTATTCTAAAATTTTTAGATTACCTCGAAAAAAATCAATTTAGATTTAAAGTTCAAACAGAAAAGTGCTGGCCAATAGAAAAATAGATTGGAGAAACATGAAAAATGAATTATCGATTTTCATTCATCCAATGTGCTTACTTGTTAAAACCATCCAAGTTGTAAAGTAGTTGAATTGGCGAATTCGGAGTGAAAATATCAAAAGGTCTTTAGGCATTATTATTATTATTATTATTATTGAGTTCAGATATTTGTTAGATATTTCAAAAATTAATTACTTTATAGCGTGTATAGAGTTTAGTGCGTAAAACTTGTGTTTCATTAATGCACGCCATAAGTGCAATAATTTTGACTCTCATTATTGGTAAGAAATGGAGAGTCGTGTCTATCTGGTTAGCATCTCCAACCAGCCTAGTCAGCAGTCCATTCGGTTAAGAAGCCAGCACATTCATCATGCACCTTTTATTATCACCACAAAAAGACTACTAATTGAGGTGGTCATTGTGATTTCTCCCACTGCTAACTGGAATCCCTGCAGAACACAACAAAAGCACTGTGGAGATTTGAGTGACAGATTGGTGTGTGCTAAGTTCAGATTCATTTATTAAAAGACAACTGCTTGAAAGCGACCATTCAGGAGGGAATCATGACGTTATCTGTCTGTCTGAGTGAAATGTCTTGCAAATAAAACGGATTGAAATTACTCAAAAGGTAGGACAATGGTGTGATATTCCCGAAGGGTAGAAGAGAACCAGATGAGTTAGTATTGACGAAAAGTACGTT